TGTCAGCATTTTTACCCGTAATTTCTACCCGTTTCCCCGCGGTAAACCACGGTCTACACGTAAAAGACAAACGGGTACGGGTGTTTTCTGTTTACTATTTGTGGGCCTTTTAAAAAGTAAAAATTTTCAACATCTTACCCAAATAAATAATGCACATATGCTTGTCAAAGTTTTCAACAATCTATGGCGAACTTTAACAACGAAAGTTACCATTCTCTGATTGGTTTTCTCACGCCGGAGTATCTTGGATTTCTTAAGTTACAAGTCGTTCCCCGGTTTACGGGTACGGCTACGTGTATATCACCCGTAACCGTAAACCGGAACCGGGGTATCTTAACCTCTCTAATATATAATGAGATGAAACGCGGTTGGTGATTGTTTATTGCGTAGTGTAAGACATCAGCTTTTCTAGGTTGTCAGCGACCCTATATAGTTCTTGCAGAATCTTTTTCAATTTGAAACTTCACACTATCCTTGGATCCCTAGTTTATTATTTCATTTTAAAGAACTTTTAAAATTATATGTTAATCTCCTTTACCGATTTTGTGTAACTTTATTATTTCTTGAAATATTTTGACTTAAAATAATTTGCTGTCCGCCATCTTGGATTAATTTTTATCTCATCGGTGATTTTAGTGACGTCATAAGCAGGGTTAGCCATATAAAACTACATCTAAATGACCAAATAACATTAAGTCTTGTTTGAAAAGTCGTCAGACAGTTTTTTATTTCAAATATAGTTACTGAAGTATATGATTTTGGGCTCATAATAACCAATTGCTCTATGGATAAAATTCTTGCGTGACCCTGCTTATGATGTCACATGCATATCCGCCAAAATCCAAGATGGCGGAAAGCTCGCTGATTTGTGGTTTTTCTGTTCAAATATCTCACGAAATAATAAAGTTACGCAAAATCGGTAAAAGAGATTAACATATAATTTTAAAAGTTCTTCCAAATGAAATAATAAAAAAATATATTGCTGTATCCCTTTAAATGATTGGGATTTTTCTAAGGTTTTGTAAACTATGCAAAACGAAAACTTTCGTTTCATCTGCAGACATTTCCGTGTTTTCCATTGTGCCATATTTTCCATTTCCATTATTGCATCACAATGCACGCGCATTAACCAAATCAAATTCTGTTATATCCCACTTATACAAGGTGTATAAAAAAAGTTTGACAATTTTGAAACGGCTCTCAACATCACAATTCCGTTAATTTCATGAAATGTTTGATAAATATAGATTGTTTGGATCGTATTGTGTCTTTTTTGGCAGCATTGAAAATAGCTTGCCCGCGAGATTTAAAGTTTAAAACACATTCTGAATTCATGGGCGAGAAATTTGTTGTGTTTTATCAATGGTCCGAATATCAGAAAATTTACTCATGTTTAAGTCCTTGAAATAGCTACTCAAACTTTCATATTTTCGCACAAATTCCTATCACGCATGCTTAATTCATTCATTTACACTGGAAAATATTTTGAAGATCCATACAATGGAAATTGTATGGATCTTTTTTGGAAATAGAATGGATTTTTGATTTTCCATAATAATTGTATATTTCCATACTATGGATATAATATCGAAATAGTATGGATATACTATGGATTTAGTGGTGCAATTGCAAATGTCATAGTATGGATTTCACATTTTTCCCCCAGTGTTACCTAATTTGCATATTGTTATTTTACTTTTTTTACAATAACAATATACAAATTAGGTAAATGCATGAATCAAAGCATGTGTGATGGGCATATTTAGGGGACTTAAAATTGAGTACATTTTCTGATATTTGCACCATTGATAAAATATATAACAAATTCCGCATGAATTCAGGATGCGTTTTAAACTTTTATATTTCGCTCACAAGCTATTTTTAATGCTGCTAAAAAGATACCGCCGCCCTGCTTTGAAGAATTTATCTTTAGGAAGTTTAGGAATTTATCTTTAAGTCCCCAAGCAATCTATATTTATCAAAAATTTTATGAAAAATGAGAGCTGTTTGAATTTCTAAATTGTATTATAGTTTTTCTTGATACACCCTGTATTGTAATATAAATTAAAAATGATAGAAATGGCGAGAAATCCAATTGAAGAAATATTCGTTAGATAGTCATAATTTAATGTTGATTGTAAAAAGCATAACTAATCCAACCTTTTATATAGTTTTTTATTTCAAGATATTTACATAACGTCCGCACTCGGCAACCCTTTGCCTACTAATGATGAATTAACTCGTCCATGTGGTCGAATCATGTGACCTGATTAACCAATGGCAATAAACGTGTAACTTGATACAATTTAATTTAAAGTGTCATAATATAAAGTTTCTACATCCTCCCACACCAAAGAATTCGGTGTGCGAATGTTCAGTAATATACTTGTCTCTTAATCGTAGTGCGTTTTGTCCGTCTACGGCAGCCTTTCTCGTCGACCTTCTCAAACTATCGTGTTGTGTTTCATTTCCTTCATTTCCTTCAGTTGACTCCGCTATTTCATCGTGTTCTATGGACTTGTCTTCCTTGACGATCCAGTATCTGGCTCGTACTCTCGCTAACGTTGACTCGACTCCATGATGCATCGTTGATTCATGTGCATCCCAGATAACCAACCGAGTAAAATGACTGTCCTTACACCGAAGTAAAACAGGATGTTGCTCTTCGTATTTCAATGAGGAATTTGCAAATCGTTCTTTTAACCGTAGCGATCCGTCTTTGTCTTCGAAAAGATTCAACGAGGCGCGGAGATTACGGAAATTAGACTGTTTCTTAATGACTAGCTGTTCATCTTTAATCCACATTGACAACACTGTCTCGTATTCATCGACCTTTAGGACATCGTCCGTGATTACGCCCGACCGTTTCTTCACTCGTTTACGTAAGTTGTTGATGAATCTCATCACATAACCAGTAGTCACGATACCGAGCTGTACCTGATGCAGATACACGAGCTGTACCTGGTGCAGTCAATTACACTATTTAATGAACACGCGTTATCTGGAGTGTCGTTCTGTGTCGTATTATTCAAGCAAGAACCTTCGGAAATATTACCTATCTTAACACTCAACTCATCAACTGAATTTCCATTAGTACCATCTGTACTATTGTCCTTCCCACCGGACTCAAAATGTTTTGACAGGAGAAAAGAAGGACCAGAAAACCAACATCCCGCAAAACATTCATGCAGGTTGGAAGATATTCGTGTGGGCACATCAGCAGGATTAATCTCTCCCTTAACAAACCTCCAACTATCACGATCCACAACATTTCTAATAGAAACAACTCTATTCTCGACCCAAGGTTCCCAACTCTTTTCCTTTCCTCTAATCCAACACAAAGCGACCTCCGAATCCGACCAACAAATTATTTTATCTAACTTTATACGACCCTTGATACCTTCAAGTACTTCCTTAATTAATTTACTTAACAACAAACATCCCAACAATTGTAATCTAGGAATAGTAAGGGTTTTAAGAGGGGCAACCTTAGTTTTCGAAGCGAGAAAAGACAATTTCACCTCATCATTGCTAATAAGCCGAAGGTAGACAACTGCACAATAAAGCTCTTTGGAGCTATCAGAAAACGCGTGAAGTTCAATTCGATTTTTCGAAGGAAAATCTAAATCGAAAACATACCGATATGTTGCCTTATTTCCTGGAGACCTTTTAATTCTAAAAATTTGTCCCAAACCAACGCAATATCTGGTGGAATGATATCATCCCAATTCAATTTATCTTTACAAAGCAGTTGAAAAATTGTTTTAATTCTTGCGGTGATTGGAGCAATCAAGCCTAATGGGTCAAAGATTGAAGCCGAAACACTTAACAAATTCCGCTTTGTCCCTTTCATAACAGCTCATTTAGACAACAAAACTTTGAATCGAAAAACAAATTCGTCCCTGCTAGTATCCCCTAATCCTAATACTACTTTATTACTGGTCTTAACATCAGGTAACATTATTTCAAAATAGGTCATATCATTCCCCCCTGGTTATAGATCTGATGTTACACCTTCTTGTGATGATATATATGCTCTAAGCTCCTGACTATTTGTTTCCCATTTCCTTAAATCAAACCCTGCTTCTGACATAGTTGATGGACTTTTCTCATACAAAACCTTAGCTTCTCCTAAGCCATCAGTCCCACTAAGTAGATCGTCAGCATACATATCGTCTTTTAAGCGCTCTACAACTATTTTATCACTTTCAATATACTTATTAAGATGGCGCTTTATGGTTGTATTCAATTAGGATGGACTACTTGTCAATCCAAAAACAAGTCTCAAAAACTTGTAAACTCTCATTTCTCCAGACTCGACGTCAAACCATAAAAAATGCAAGTAATTTCTATGCTCTGATGATATAGCTATGTTCAAGAATGCCTGTTTAATATCAGCCAAAATTGCAATTCTATTTAGTCGAAATCTTATAAGAATGTCAAAAATTTTAGCAAGAAGGTTTGGTCCTGAGTAGAGACATTCATTAAGTGAGGGACCATTAACTTTACAAGAAGCATCAAACACTGCACGGATCTTAGTGGTTTCCTTATCCTCGCGAATTACTGGTCTATGTGGAAGATAATGGACCTGACCTACTTCTCCTGCAACTTCATCAGCAGGAACTTGTTCAATAATGCCATTTTGTTCATAGTCTTTGAAGATTTTGTCATAATCATTAAGTATACCTTTAGACACTAATCTACCTTTCAATGACTTTAAACGTCCTTCACTTACTGCAAAATTATCTGGTAATGGCTCATGGTCT